ATGCGTTTTTGCTGCCTGTTGCAGCGCTCTAGCGCTGCACGGCAAAAACGCATAAAAAGGGAAAAAATTGGGGAAGAATGAGTGCCAAAACTAATATATGTTTGGAAATAGGCCATACTAATATATTACTGACAGATACGGGCTTACTACGGAAAGACTGCCCGTATTTAAATGCAAATCGTACAGCTAGATCTAATCAGAGCTGAGAAGATAACGTGCTCTTCCAAGCACTGAACTAAACATATGAAAGAAGAATTTGTACCAATAAAAAATGAAATGAAATTAAGCAAGATTATCGTGATAAAAAAACAAAAAAAAGGCTATCCAATTCACGAGATTTTTGTTCAAAAAAATAAAATTTAGTCGAATTGTTATGAAAAAGTTTACAATCATAAAAAAAAAAAAACATCTAATTTATGAGATTTCTGACAACAGTCAAAGTCAAAAATCTTCCCTCTACCCACTGTTGGTGAGAGGGGAAGCCCAAACGATAGCAAATCCTAATACAGTACAAAATTACCAAAAAAAAACATCTAATTTACGAGATTTCTGACAAAAGTTAAAGTCAAAAATCTTCTCTTTATTCACTGTTAGCGAGAAGAGGAGGCACTTGGGCAATAGCCCCATTGATAGCAAATATCAGTGAAAAAATTCGAAAATTTTGCAGCAATTCCATACCAAAACAGTGGAAACAAATACGTGATCCTCGGGAATCAGCGGATAGACCGAAAATTCAGCATTGTGACTGCGAAGATCATCAGCATTTTTACATGCAGCAATGCAGTGCTGTCGGTTGTTGCCAAATGGTTGCGCATCATTTGTAAACAGATAAACCACACGTTTTTGAAAGTGAGGTCTGCAAATAATGCAAATTTTCATAAACGATGCAAAACCACCGCCACTCAATCTTTTGCTTCTTTCTTCATTCCGGCAGGGAGGAAAGGGCATCGGCTGGGATGGAGGTGTTGCATTATAGGACCACATGGACCTCCAGCATGCATGATTATCAATTTTTTGCATGAAGCCCAAGAAATTCCCAATGTTCAGTTTAGCACAAGAACAGCCACATATTCAGCTGCTTTTCTCGTCCTCTATGAAATTTACTGTCTTCAGCTTAGCAAAAAATAGTTATATTTTATGCAATTCATGGAATTCCATGTTTGAAATTCTAGCAAATTCCCTAAACAAACTCGATACTACGAGAAGGAAAGGAACAAAATGTGATGGGTTGCATGAATGTTAAAATTTTTCCTTTGCTTTTGCATTGATTCATTTTCTCGCTTTTCTAAAAAAATTGAAAAATACAAGTACGTTCGCGATGTTATTCGTTTGATACACAAAAAAAGCGCTTCACTGTAATCGCAACGTCCATGTCCACCACATACGTCTTTGAATGCTGACAAAATATCATCTAAAATGATAAAGTTAACCAGCAAAAAGATGACGGATAGTATAAATAGCAAAAGTTTCCATAAAATCTCGTAAATCAGGCTACCCCACAGGTGGACTCAGGACGGTTTCTGGGGAGGGATAAGGGGGGAACTGGGCTATTCTCCTCTCCCCGGTTTATCACTAAGTAAGGGGCCTTACTCCCCTCCCCCTGCTCCGGCTCATTGCTTCTAGCGACAGCGGCTGGAGGGGGGAAACTGGAGGTTCTGAAGGCGCGACGAGGACATCGAAGAGATTTTTTCTTACTTCTAGCATTGATACCTGCGTTGCTGGGAGGAGGGGAGCGAGAAATCCATTATCCCCCTCTCCCCCCACCCCCTCTCGCTCTCCCCTCCGGATCCGACAATGAACTACCAGGAGCGCTAATGTGGAGCCCCCGGTGTTTCACTAAGGTACAACTGCAAGCTGGGTTCAGCTCCTTACAAAAACACTCTTGTAATATCGAGAATCGTACCGAGCAGTTTTACGTGATACCCCGTAAATGTACACATATTTTAAACACCTGTGAAAAAATCCTAAAGAGATTTAAGTGAAACCTCAAAGATTTTGAATACAAAACTGGGATATCCTAAACAAATATCTTATAAACAAAATATGCATTAGAATGGATTGCAATGAAATAATAGACCAGCAAGACTATACATAGGCGTCATGTGTAAGGTGATATTTTATGGTGCAAACTGTCTTTCATCTTTTAGATGTAGTGAGGTGATATTTTTCGATGCAGTCTCTGTGTTTCATCCCTTAGAAGATGAATCGTGAAACGAAGAATTCACCGGCATTCACTAATCGATCGAGCTCTTTCACTCGTTCCGCCGATATTTCTTCAACGTCTTGTAATACGTAGACATGATCCACTGCATGAGATTTATTCAACTGCAAATAATTAAATATTATGTAAACAATTAAACAAAAATTCAATTTCAACAGGTTATTCTTATAAAAAGCGTTTCCTCATAACTGGCGTATAATGATTGTCCGTATCACTGGTTAAATTCTTTTCTTTCTCTTCTCTCTCACTCTGTTTGTTCTCTCTCTGATTTCTCTTCCTTTCGCATATTCGTCTTGCAAATTAGTCACATGACTGTTCAGTGCATGGCGGGTATGAGGCTGCACTAGTGATTCCCACTCCTACGCGGATGCAAGGTTCGGCCAGTGTTTACAGCTAAGGGATGAAACACAGACAGACTGCATCCCGTAAAATGTCTTCTTACACATGACATTTAAATCCAATTCCTCTACACTACCATTTCAAGAATAATGCTGGTTTTCTCTTGCATACACAAAATTTAAGGATGTAAAGAAACATCTGCACTGCATTAAAGCTTGTCAAAATAGGCAGTTGTAAAAAAAAAA